CGTTGATCGGCGATTACGAATTCGACGCCCTGTTACGCGAGTTGCAGGAGCTCGAAAAGCCTACCCGGAGTTCGACGATCCAATTCGCCGACGCATCGCGTCGGCAGCGATGCGACCAATGAGTTTCGCACCGTGGAACACCGTTATCCGATGTTGTCGCTGTCGAATACCTATTCGCTCGACGAGCTGCACGAATTCGATGTTCGCATCCGCAAGGAGGTGGAACCTGTGGAATACGTATGCGAGCTGAAATTCGACGGCACGGCGATCAGCCTGACTTATCAGGACGGTCGCTTGTCGCAGGCCCCCGTGACGCGCGCGACGGGACGCGCGGCGACGACGTGAAGGCGAAACGTAAGGACGATCCGCACCGTGCCGCTGCGGCTTGCCGGGACGATTACCCGTCCTTTTTTCGAAATTCGCGGCGAGGTGCTGATGCCGTTCCGCTCGTTCGAACGACTGACCGGGAGCGGGAAGACATCGGGGAGACGCCGTTCGCCAATCCGCGCAATGCCGCCGCCGGGTCGCTCCAACAACAGAGCTAGGCCGAAACCGCCCGCCGCGAGCTCGACTGCACGCTGTATGCGCTGGTCGGCGACAAGCTGCCGTTCGAAACCATTACGAAAGGTTGCAGGCGGGCCGACGGTGGGGATTTAAGGTATCCGATCAGATCAGCCTGTGCCGTTCGATCGACGAGATAGACGCTTTTATCCGTCATGGGATAAGGCGCGTACGACCTGCCGTTCGCTACGGACGGCGTGGTAACAAAGTGAACCGTTTCGCCGATCAGAATCGGCTCGGTTATACCGCCAAGGCTCCGCGCTGAGGCCGTAGCCTATAAATTCAAAGCGGAGCAGGCCCGCCCCGGCTGTTGTCGGTCGATTTTCAGGTCGGGCGTACCGGGGCGGTGACGCCGGTCGCCAACCTCGATCCGGTGCCGTTGGCCGGTACAACCGTCAAACGGGCTTCGCTGCACAATGCCGAACAGATCGCGCTGCTCGATATCCGGCTCGGCGATATGGTCTATGTGGAAAAGGCGGCGAAATTATTCCGAAAATTACCGGCGTTGATCTGTCCGAACGTCCGGCCGGCAGCGAGCCGTTCAAGTTCATCACGCACTGTCCGGAATGCGGAACGGAATTGGTCAAATACGAAGGCGAGGCGCGCCATACTGTCCGAACCCAAGCCATTGTCCGCCGCAGATCGTCGGCCGTATCGTGCATTTCATTTCGCGTAAGGCGATGAACTATACGACGGTCTCGGCGAGGAGACGGTGCAACTGTTGTACGATTCGGGGCGGTCGCCGATATCGCCGATCTGTACCGGCTGAAACGCGAGGACCTGGTCGATTTGCCGCGTCTGGGCGAAAAATCCGCCGACATATTTTAAAACAGTATCCGGGAGTCGTTGAAACGTTCCCTTCATCGGGTATTGTTCGCGATCGGGATTCGCTTCGTCGGCGAGACGACCGCCAAAACGCTCGCCGCGCAGTTCAAGAGCCTCGATGCGCTTGCCGCGGCTACGCCCGAGGAGCTGGCTACGGCGGAGGATCGGCGAGCGGATCGCTGTCAGCGTGCGGGGATTACTTTCTCGATCCGGCGAACCTGGATATTTTGGAACGGCTGAAGGCGAGCGGCCTGCATTTCGAAGCCGAGGAATCGGCGCGTCTTTCGGATCGTTTAGACGGTAAAAAGATCGTCATTTCGGGGACGTTCGAAAGACATTCGCGCGATCAGTTGAAACAACTGATCGAGGCGCACGGCGGCAAGAACCTGGGGACCGTTTCGTCCACTACCGATTACCTGCTGGCCGGCAGCAACATCGGCCCGCGAAATTGACCAAGCCAATAAGCTGGGCGTCAAAATTATCGGCGAGGCCGATTTCGAACGGATTATTGCCGGAGAAGCCGTCGGGGAGAAGGAACACGATGAAATTCCCGTTGCGGAACAATCGTCGTCCGAGAAAAAAGAAGAACCCTCGGAAAATAATTCGAAGCAGCGCACCTTGTTCGGTAAAAAATATTAAATTTGTCCGAAAATTAACATTTCACGATGAAACCTACATGAGAGGCGTGGGGATCGCCCTGATAACCCGTTTTCGGAAGACGGATCGGTCGATTTCGGCGCATTGGAAGCGCTGGTTGAACGGGTGACTGCCGGCGGGGCCGATTACCTGGTCGTGCTCGGAACGACGGCCGAAACGCCTACGCTGACTGCCGACGAGAAAGAGGCGGTCGTCAGTTGCGTGGTTCGGAAGAATAACGGACGCCTGCCGTCGTGCTCGGAATGGGCGGTAACAATACGGCCGAAGTGGTGGCTTCGATCCGCAAAACCGATTTTACCGGGATCGATGCGATCCTTACGGTCACTCCTTATTATAATAAGCCTTCGCAGGAGGGTATTTATCAGCATTACAAGGCGGTTGCCGCTGCGGCTCCGTGCGGAGTGGTGCTGTACAACGTGCCGGGACGTACCGGCGTCAACATGAAAGCCGAAACCGTGCTGCGCCTGGCGCACGATTGTCCGAACGTCGTCGCGGTCAAGGAGGCCAGCGGATGCCTGTCGCAGGCGGCTTATATCCTGCGCGACCGGCCGGAGGGATTCGCCGTGGTTTCCGGCGACGATAACCTGACCCTGCCGATGGTGGCGCTGGGCGGGGACGGGATCATCTCCGTCGCAGCTCAGGCTTTCCCTGAGAAATTTTGCCGGATGGCGCATTTGGCTCTCGACGGCCGCGTGAAAGAAGCGGCTTCGCTGCACCTTCAGATGATGGAGGCGGTCGATTCCCTGTTCGAAGAGGGGAATCCGACCGGTATCAAAGCTGCGCTGAGTTGTCTGGGCGTGATCGGCAATTATTTGCGCCTGCCGCTGGTGCCTGCCAGCGACCGGTTGGTCTCCAAGATCGACGGCCTGCTGAAAGCGTACGAACTCCGTTGACCGCTTCGCGGGCCGACCGAATAAGCCCTAAATTTCGTCCGCGTCAAATATTTTTATATTTTTAGCGTTTATTAAGGGTGAAATATAAAGATATGAGACGAATTGTTTTCTCTTTGGCGGTGTTGATGTTTGCAGGGGTTTTGTCCGCTGCGGCGCAGCAGGATACGGTGCGGACACAGGCCCCGGATAACGACGCGATCCTCCGGGAAACGATCAACAGCGCTTCCCCTTACTATTACCCGACGCTTTTCACCCGTTATCTGACCGGCGATACGACTCTGACGGATACCGACTACCGTTATTTGTACTACGGTTTCGTATGGCGTCCGGAATACAAGCCGTTCGAGACGCCGGCGGCCCGCGACAAGATCCTGCAAATTCTGGAGGCCGATTCGCTGAACGAGGCGGACTACCGGCGGGTTATCGCCTACGGGAACGAGGTGTTGAAAAAAGAGCCGTTCGATCCGGGAGCGATCAATTTCCTGATTTACGCTTACGGCGGGATCGGAGATACGCTGAACGAGCGGATCAACTATTACGGTTGCAGGGGGTGCTGAATGCGATCAAGTCTTCGGGAACCGGACTGAGCGAGGAGTCGCCGTGGCACATCATCTATTTTTCGCATGTGCGCGATTTCTGGCCAGCGAGAATATCATTTGCGGCAAGGAGCGCGTGATCAGTCGGACGGTGGCTTATACGCCGCTGCTGGTGAAGGAGGAAAGGAGTTAAAGGATATTATTTCGATTTCGGGCGGATCTATTGGCAGCGGCCCGCAAGGAGCCCGAAAAGCGCAGTAGCGGATGGGAATTCAACGGACTGCCGTTGAAAAGGCGGGCGGCGCCCAGTGTGGAGAAGGTTGAGTAAAAAACAGTTATTAAGAAGACAGAGAATGAAACGTAAAGGATGGATTATTTTGGCGGTCGTGGCAGTCGTTGTGCTGGGCGCTTATTCATGGTTGAAAGGAAGTTACAACGATATGGTCAGCCGCAGCGAAGCCGCTACGGCGCAGTTGGGCAACATTGAGAATCAGTATCAGCGTCGCGCCGACCTGATTCCGAATTGGTGAGCACCGTAAAGGGTTACGCCGCCCACGAACAGAATACGCTGAACAGGTAGTCGAAGCGCGTGCGAAAGCGACGCAGACCCGGATCGACGTGAACGATGCCGCCGCTATGGCCCGTTTCGATCAGGCGCAAGGCGAGCTTTCGTCGGCGCTCAGTCGGTTGATGGCTATCTCCGAGAGTTATCCCGACCTGAAAGCCAACCAGAACTTCCTGGATTTGCAGACGCAGCTCGAAGGGACGGAAAACCGGATTGCCGTCGAACGGCGCAAATTCAACGATGCCGCGCAGCAGTTCAACACCTATATCAAAATGTTTCCGCGCAACCTGCTGGCCGGGATGTTCGGATTCGCCCCGATCGGTTATTTCGAAGCGCAACCCGGCTCGGAAGTCGCTCCTAAAGTCGAATTTTAACGGGTCGCATATCGATGAGATCGCTGTTAAGGATCTTTGCCTGCTGGTGCGGCGCGGCTTTGCTTTCGCTGCCGCTCGTCGCGCAGCAGTTGCCCGATCAGATGTCGCCGCCGCGCTTGGTCAACGATTTCGCCGGATTGCTCGACGAGGCGCAGCGCCGGTCGCTGGAACAAAAGCTGGCGGATTTCGACCGCGAGACTTCGACGCAGATTACCGTCGTTACGGTGGACGATCTGGACGGTTACGCTCCGGCCGACTATGCGCAGCGGCTGCACGACAAGTGGGGAGTCGGACGCAAAGGCAAGGATAACGGGATTCTGATTCTGGTCAAGCCGTCGCAACCCGATTCCCGGGGCGAAGCCTACATTTCGGTGGGATACGGCCTGGAAGGGGTGATCCCGGATATTACCGCCGGGCGGATTTTGGATCAGGAGATGATCCCGGAGTTTCGCCGGGGAAGCGTTTATGACGGGTTGGACAAGGCGACGAACGTACTGATGCAACTTTCCCGCGGGGAATTCACGGCCGATCAGTATGCCGGTCGAGACGAAGGCGGCGGAGTCGCCGTCGGGCTGGTAGCGATTCTGGTGCTTTTCTTTTTGTTTGCCGCCGGCCGCAAGGGAGGAGGGCATGGAGGCAACGGCAGCCGCGGCGGGGGAGGGTGGTTCCCCCCGATTTTCCTGGCGGCGGGTCGCGTGGCGGAGGCAGTTTCGGAGGCGGAGGTTTCGGCGGTTTCGGAGGCGGAATGTCGGGCGGCGGCGGAGCCGGACGTTCCTGGTAGGTTTGATAACGAACAATAATACGGATTCGATGGGAAAATTTTACTTTTCGGTTTTAGGGCTGATAGCCTGTCTGTTTTTCTCCTGCGGAAAGAATGAAGATGGAGGAAAAATCGATCCGCCGCCTGTAAAGAGCGGGCGGACGATCCTGGTCTATATGGCCGCCGATAATAATTTGGTGAACTCCGCCTGGCAAAATGTCGATCAGATGCTTGTCGAATGGAGTCGATCGACGGGAACCTGATCGTCTATATCGATCCGCAGGAGGTACTCCCCAATTGTTGAAGATCGAGTCGGGAGGCAAAAAGACGGTCGTCGAGGAGTATGCGAAAGAGAATTCCGCATCGACGTCGGTGCTGAGCCGGGTGATCGCGCGTACCAAAGCGCTGTATCCGGCCGAATCCTACGGGCTGGTGCTGTGGTCGCACGGATTGGGCTGGGCGCCTGCCGGAGTGATTCCGAAAAGCTATTCGGCGGACGATCTGTGGCGGAAAGATCCGAATGCGCCCCTTACCAAATGGTTCGTCAGGACGGCGCCAATTATATCGACATTTCCGATCTGGCCGGGGCGTTGCCCCGGGATCGGGAATTCGACTTCCTGCTGTTCGACGCCTGCTTTATGGGGAGTGTCGAGGCGTTGTACGAACTGCGGAATGCCGCCAAATACATCATCGCTTCTCCGACGGAGATCCTTTCGTCCGGTTTTTCGTACGATGCGATTTTGCCGGAACTGTTCGCGGATACGCCGCGGTTCGAAGAGGTCTGCCGACTGTTCGTCGATTACTACCGGCAATCGTCGTCTACGTGGCCCTATGCCTCGGTCGGTCTGATTAAAACCGACGAACTGGACGCGCTGGCTGCGGCTGCCAAGCGTTTTACGCCTCCGCTTCGCCCGCTTCGGCGGATGTGTCGCAGGTTCAGTATTTGGAGCGGATGCAGACCCACGTTTTTCACGATCTGCTGGACTATTATTCCAAAATCGGCGGAGATGCCGCTCTTTATGCCGCGTTCGCCGGGCAACTTCGCAAAACGGTGGTTTACGAAGATCATACCGAGTACGTTTTTCAGCGCCTATTCCGGTCGGGAGTAGGACCCTTTAATATGTGCGTCAAGCTGAATACTTTCTGCGGACTTTCCACGTACGTCCGCGCGACCTGTCCGCGTTGCAACTTCTGCAAGAATCCTATAAGGAAACCCCGTGGGCGAAAGCGGTCGGGATCGCTTACTGAGTTGCGGCGCTCTTTTCTGCCGATTCTTCCGGCGACATGATGCCGCCTCCGAGCGCTTTGTAAAGCGTGGCGTAGCTGCTCATCGTTGCGCTGAGCGTCTCCGCGTAATCGGATTGCGCGTCGAATAATGTTCGTTGCGTTTCCAGAACGTCCAAGTAACTGATCTGTCCGGCGGCGTACTGCTGCTGCGAC